CATATATATATAACTGATCGACACGTTCTTTAAAAGATAAATAAAATTCAATCAATAATTTCTTTAATTCAGCTTTCTTTAATTCAAAATAGTACACAGTTCAGAGATAAATTTTCATTCGTCGGAAGAGCTAATTCATTTAACTCCGAACGGTATAGATTTTTAGTGAAATATTTGCTTACGCAAGTTTAAATTATGCAAGTATATAGCGATGTTAATAATTTTAATCAAATAGCTTCAATTAAGTTAAAAAAAAAACCTATCAGACCCTGTTTATATCGTTTAGTAATCTATACGTAAAATAGCTAGTTATTTTTACGTTATCTTTATCTTTCTCATTCTTTCGCTGAATAATACTTGTTGTTAAGGAATGATATTATACAAAAATGAATGCCGCCAACGAGCGTATTAATATTATTAATGTTATTATCCTTGAGTATCGAGTCCGTATCGATCCGACTTGTTATTTTATCATATACAACGACTTCTCATACATTTCGGCGCGTCAGGCTGACAGTATCAGAAGTCGGCGATCGTAAACGGATCTTAAAGAGGATGCATTAACCGTACTCATACGTGTTGGCTAATAAGAGCTAGTTTAGTCGATTTCATAACGATTAATCAAGCCGGCTATCGCGATTTTGTCGTCATGAATGAAATCGTGGCAGCTCAGGAGATCACGGCGACACTCGAGAGGAATGTACATGAAGCTGACTCGTAAAACGCGAACACGCGAATATTCTATACCGAGATACGCTTTTAGCTCGAGTGCACGTGCCGCGAGCGCAAGGAACTTAATTCGACAAACACATTCGACAATGCGTTGCAAAAGAATTTGTTTAATTAAGTAGAATCGATAGAAGTCTGTTTTGTAAATATATGAATTTTAGAAACACCTGTATAATAGAATATCCCCCTGTATAATAGAATAAACACAGTATAAAATATACGTGGTATAATAAAATACATAGTATATTATGTGGATATTTTTTCACAAAGATTTCTTTATGAAAAAAATTTAAATATGAAAAAGCAATTATCTATCAAGTCTAATTAATCGACTCATCTTTTGCAGAATAAATAGGAATGTCTGAGCGATAAAGCATTACAATTAAATGGAAGAACACTCAGAAATGCAATTAGGTATGTAAAGAGGCGTAAGTACCAAATAATAACACCACATATTGGATTTGAAGATTAAGTATGAAATAGAAGAAACAACATGTTCTCTGTTAACAATCACGAGCAAAAGAAGTTAAAAAGTCGGTGTCGCTAAAACTCGATATAATGGATGAAAATATTTTCAATGAAAATATTTTGTACAATCTTAAAAATATAAGCAATCTGTCGGTTCGTCTCACAATTTCTCGCGAACGTCCTAAAGATGCAAAGTATATCCGATAAGATGCTTCATGAAATGTAATTAGGAATTGTCGACAATAGGAACCACGAGTGAATAATAACGTTATAATATTATAACGTTACAGGCAGATCGGGCGGCGAAGAAACAAGAAAACCTTCTGACGATCTGTTCGGAACTGCCTGACGTTTCACGGTTCCCATTAACGTCAGATCAGTTCTGATCGTGGTATGCTAAGTTTTGTTCCTCTGCATCGATACAATAGCCCTAGCTATGAATAAACACTGTAGCTAATACGTTACATTATAACAGTAGCTATAATATAGAATTACATGTTAATTATATCATAGCTAAAGATATAATGTTACAATTATAATGTAATTTAGCTACATTATAGCTAGGGCTATAATATAAAGCACGTAATAGCTATATTATAGTTAGGATTAAAATATAGAATATTTTATAGCCGTATCATAGCAACGACTGTAACGTAGTATCTATTATGACTACATTATAATTAGGGCTACAATTTCAAAGGGAGCGACTAATAAAAGTTAGTCAATCAAGGCTGTCGACGCAATTAACCTTTTGTCATCCTCTTACAACTGATATATCGCCATTTAATTGAAAATTACGCAATATAGACGTAATTTTTTTCTAAGCGTCAAAAAAGAGAGTACAGAGTAACAGCACAGGCACAGTGTAAAGAGACTTTTAAGATAAAGCATTACTTTCGACATCCCAAAGTATCGCATTGCATTTTGAAATTAATGCTGCGCACTGATCCCTGAAAATTTAAAGCTACCATCAAAAACGAATCGTAATTTGCTTTCATTAGCTCCGGAAAATATTAGATAAGTAGATCAATATTTATATACTTGCGGCGTTTACACCAGTCGCTTTGAACACTGGATTTGGCCCCTTTCTTTGGAAGAAGAAAACTGGCTTGATCGTCGAAAAACTAGCATCGGCGCATGCCATACGTTCGTCATCAAAGCGCAAATTTCGTTCATCGCAATCGCGCGTGAGTAGCATCGTCGAGGACAGCGCGAATGTTCGCAAACGTATGATTGGTCACCGCACTATCGTTCCACTCTAGAGATGCGGAAAGGAAGAATGAATTCATGCAGAACATCTTTTTGTTTTGATGTGCACAGAGTGACAAACAGTAGAAGGAAAAACGAATTATAACGTTCGATAAATCGGGCAACAAATCAATTAAGCGAGTCTTCCCTTCCACGTTCTCGGACGGGATTCTTCCACACACGAGCTAACAATTCAACGCGAAACTATCTATCATTTCGCGCATCCTAAAGTATTATCTATTCTCGCACGGATATAAGGGATGAAAATATGCAAGAGCTACTTAGTCGCGTAGCGACTCGAAACGAACTCAAATACGTTCATTATCCATGGTCACGTATCCGAGAAAAGAAACTCGCTCTCAGACAATAATACTTCCAAATCGGAGGGTACAGTGTGTAAGTCGGAGTTGGCCGGTTCCGGCAGATCGCCACCGCTATTTCCGATGCCAGTAGGGGCTATCTGTCGTGCTCTGCCTATTCTGACTCGGTCCTTCCTCTTCGCTGTTCGTAGCAACACTCCAGTTCTCGGTAACTTCGTTCTGCTATTCGCATTCGTATGATTCACGGCCGTGGCCGGTGCTTGCGCCACCTTGTCGGACTTGCGCAGCTTCACGCTGAATCTGAACGGTGGCTTATATACCACCTGGAGCCTCGCCCGTTCCTTCCTGGCGAGGGAATTCAATGAGTTCTTTAGTTCCGCTCTTCCAGTCTCCACTCCAGGACGTCGCGTGGACGTTAATGCCTGTTGTCTTGACACTGGCACTCTGGACCCCACCGCCCCTCCACTGGCTGTTAGACCTACCGGGGTCGATTTACTTTTCGGCATACCGTTAATGTTGGTCCGTGCACCGGTTTCCGGTCGACATTGCGAAGATGCCAATAACCAAGAACGCACTTTACTCTTAGGATCGGCGTTCGTTTCCGGTTCCTTATCCGCTTGAATTGCCGAGTAGTCAATTACTTCCTTTCTATGTTGCTTTTTACGCTTTCTCTTATCGTTATCGCCGCTGCTTCCGCCTGGATTATTGCTAGTCCCTTGTCCTTTATCTCTAATAGATGTAATCTTCTTCCGTTTATTCTCTTGAGTTACAGCAGCCAAAACTTCAGCTGGTCGCTTTCGCGCAAAGTCATCGACCTGCCCGGTAGACGATCTCTTTGTTTGTTGGTTTTGTTTCTTTTTGATATCCTTTAAATACAAATAAAAAATTTATTTTAAGTATTTAAATTCAAAAATATAAAATATCAAATTAATATATTAGTACTTAAATGATTAAATTAAAAAATAATTTATTTTCTTTTTAAATTAATTTTACCTTATTGTTAGACTTGTCGGTGTGGCCACCATCTTTATGTTTGCGATGACACCTCTTCTCCCTGACCTTTCTGCTAAGAGGAAGTTTGGCACGTACCGCCGGTGGATGCACTGTTACTCCTTCCGTACCTTCCGGCGGAAGTCGTACCGTTTCCGTCGTAGAACTATGGATAATCGTGACAGACTTTAGCTTCAAGTCCGGTCGCTTGCCCAGTAATCTCATGCTTGCTACCTAAAAGAAGAAAATAAAATCTTTATATCGTAAATGAATTTTCATTTGATTAGTTTATTAATAATTTATTAATAATTAATAATAATTTATAAATATGAATCAATAAGATACTATTATCGTATATAAATATATATATTTCTTTAATCGTACTATTTTAGTTTTTAATAAAAACTATATAATTTACAAAGGAAATTCAAATTATTATTTTATGCAAAGCTTTAATTAAAGATTATCTAGCAGCTACAAGAATATTTGTTTCTACGCAATACTTTAATCAAATGTAGGTGTGTAGAGAAGGTATAATGTAATGCTAGAATTTTTGTAAAAAGCAATTAATTCTCAATTATTTATAACAAACACATACATTATTATTATTAGTAATAACCTACTTTTTATGTATCCCTACACTGACTCTCATTGCATTTTTCTCTTTTCCTTAGTTGTTTCTGATACTAAACATTTTTAATATATATAAATATGTAGACTGAGTGTTTTCTTGCGCTTATTTTTACAAAAACACGTTTACTTTATAGATAACAATCTCACCCGCGAACTATTTATTGATTAAAAATAATAAATTATTAAACAACAGAAAAATTAGGAATCTAAATTTTAATTTTAAAAATAAATAATTTTTGAATACATTATTTCTAGAGAAAATGTAATTTTTTTATACATACTAGTAACGATATCGCCGCTAAAATTATCAGAGCGGCTGCATACCAATGTTCAGCGACCCACCGTCTAAAAGTGGCGAGGCTCTCGTCGGATAATAAGAGTTTCCTTAAAGTTGCTAATGGACCGCTTGGATCGACCTAAATAAAATATTTTAATTAGCGCTGTTATCTACTACTCGCACGACCTTCCATATTCAAATTCTACTTACCTCGCGACATTTTTGAAAGACATCACAGTAGCCGTTATAATCGTTACATGGAGTTCCTGGCTTTGAGAACATATCAGGAATATCATACGGTGGGGAATTCCAATCAAAAGACGATCTACCAAAGGAAAAAGTTTAATTTAATAAATTTAATAAATTTAATAAATTTTTACATAAATCGATCGACAAAATAATATGAGTTAAACGTACAAGCATGGTTGATTTTCCCCGGGAAGTCGACAACATAACTCGCAAGCCTTCGTCGGTGGATCGTTCGGGCCTGGTATGCATTGGCAAGATTCCAATCCGTATGCTAAGCAAATGCTGCCAGTGCACTCCTGTTGAAACACAAGTTTCACGCACGTGAGATCATATTTGTTCATTTAATGAGAAAGAACGTGTGTAGTTTTTAATGGGATTAATATCTACCCCCATGAAGCAAACCAGCTCACGGTTACAGATAGTCTTATTAGGCTTGTTAATGGATGGCGGACAGTACGGAGAACGACCGTCACAGAAGCTCGCATCGCGACAGCCATTGTCATCTCTGCACTTGTCTCCGAAACGGAGATTACACTCGCTGGTACAGCACGGACCCTGAAAAGGAAAGCAAATAGAGCCGTTGAAATTACATCATGTCATACGCACGATGCGCCATGTAATTACGTTATGTCTGTGAGTAAATTACCTAAAGTAAATTTCATAGGATATCACTTAAATTAATTAATTTTCGGTAAAATAAACGAGTGATGAATATATACGAGCGAATCTTAATATCTTTTACATAAAATACTATATGTCAATTATTAAACACATTGCTTGTCACATTATAAATATGCCCAATTTTGTGTAACAGAAATTTTATCAAATATTAAAGATATAATGGCTTCATAAAAAATTGATTAAAATGTGACTACATTTATATATGCATTCTGTTATTTGAATATTTAAACAATTGAATGAACCTTTAAATATACAACTGGACAAGCAAGTGTTTGAAAAATTTATTTAGACGCTTGAACACTTAGCATTTAATATTAAAGATTGAAAAAGCGCAAGCGCGGCTTTGAGTTAAATTTTGAGGAGGGAAAGCCGTCCTAAAATTCCCTCGACAGTACAGTCCAACTCGCATTTTTTACAAGCGTCATACATACTTGACTAGGACTGCACACCGCACGCGGTGTGAGAGTGCACGGGGTCTCCTCGGGCGGTGGATAACGGCGCTGGGGATAACAGCACGAGTCCCTGCAATCCTCCTCCCAGCCGCAATCGCACTCCTCGCCCTCCTCCACCACGCCATTGCCGCACAACGATACTTGCGGTTCTACAATAAACAATGCAGAGTACCGCCAGGGTTAGAGCAAACGAGAGTAGAATAATTGGACGAACAGATAGGAGCTGGTTCGATCAATTTCGTTTCACTACGACGTAACGATATATTGCGTTCGCCATTACTCCCACAGTATAAAACTCACCGGTGAAGCATCCCTTTGGAGACCGTGCCTTGCTGTTAAGCACAGGATTTATGGCATTCAGGCTACATGGACTGAAGCGATTGTTGTTACGCTTGTCCCCGCTGGTAGCACGAGCGAACATTATAAAGTTGCCATCCTCCCCGCCTGGTGTACATTGTTCCGGATCGTGCTGAACGCAAAAGAACAATGAGATGTACGACATGCGCATCATTCGTTTATTGACGGGACAACATTGTATAACAAGACCACGGAATGTGGAACACGCCGTTTTGAACGTAACTAACGGAAGTGTACGTACCGGCGAGCCAAAGTTGTGGCCGATCTCGTGAGCCAAAGTAACGTGAGAGACCGCAGGCGGTACGTGCTTCCCGTAATTTAATAGGGTCACTATGCCGGTGTTTAATGACTTCATGCTGCCGCGATAATGCTATAACATTATTTCAATAATTATTTTTCATCAAACTTCATATTCGCAGCGATTTACGTTTTAGCGATCACGAAAAAAAATCATGCGACAAGAAATCAATTTTTATCGGAGTAGATCAGCTGATCACCACCATGAATGGGATATGAATATATAATGTTGAGAGTAGAAGATAAATAAATTGTTGTAATTTTTTTAAAAGTATAATTTAATATAATTAATTATATAATTTAATATAATTATAATTTAATATAATTAATTCTCTTTAAAATTTAGAATTGTTATCATACTATTTATAAAAAATATAATCAACATTTCTTTTATGAAGGTCTACTAATATATTTCGCTACGCATACCCCGTTCTTCTCACATACGCCGCCAGCATTCTTGAGATCGCCTGTCCATGCCAAACCCAGAGTTCCCATCTCGAAATCCCGATACGTGAACATATAAGCCAGACAGAATGCGTCATAATCCTCCTCTATAACAAGGCAAACATCAATGTATTAGTATAGTACAATCCCCTCGTTCGCGTATATTGACGTATCGACATTACGCCGTATTGCGGATTATTAACAAAGAACGGCAACGAGGTCTTTACCTGAAAAGAGCTCTAAATATTTCTCCACTCCATAATTGCCCGGAAAACGATAATGAGGATCTCTCAATGCATCCTCGCTGTGCACCTTAACGCGTTTAATCATGAAACTGATGTTATCCGGCCGCCCATCTTGATTGAAATCTGAAAAGAGACATGATTCAAACACTAGTTGTTTCTTAAATTGCATATTCATCAGAACTAAATAATTCACTTAAACTCGTGTATTATTCTAGTTCTGTTTCTTGCGCCTCACATTGACGATTCCCATGTGATTACCGTTCTCTGGTCCAAACAGAGTAATTCGCGTGTAATTTAGAACTCAGTGTGTGTTATACATAATGGAACAGTACGGTAATGAAAATACTGTACATACAAATAAATAGATCAGTATATGTTTTACAATGATATCAAGTAATAAAACCATTTTATCGAAAGATTTTAAATTGATATTTATCATAAGAAGCATTAAAAACATATCTCGCATTAATTACGAAATATAAACAATTTTACATATATTTGTATTATAAAAATATGTATATACATATTTATTTTTCTTAATTATATTTTATGCTACTCGTTTAACATTCACAAAATTACACTGTATCTCTCTTTGTGCGAAAAAAAAATACGAGACTCAATATTTTTTAGAATTACATTTTTTACTGGATGAAGATTAATTATATTATATATTTTACAATCAATGTTTTTTGAATTAAATTTAATATTATTATGGATTTAAGTAACATTAAATTGAATTATTCACATGAATAATATTCCAAAACTGCATTTTACTTTATTTCCTCTAGTTATATGTTTGCTAATTATTTGCTTTTCAAGCGGTTTTCGCAAGTTTCATCTAATAATTCCATCGCTTTTACTAGAGTGTAACAAAATTATAAATGAGAAAAACAAAAAAAAATTGACTTATACGCGTACAACGACATACAAAGAAAATTAATTTATTATTTCTATCGTATTTTTTCTGTGTAAACATAACGCTTAATTGCGCTTAATATTAAAATATAAATAAATATAAATTTAAATATCAACAAATCAAAATCGAATAAATAATTCTTCCCTCGTAATATCATCAACCACGGTAGGAATTGTAAAATTGCAAAAAATTTTCATAATTCCCGTAAAGTTTCCCTGGCATTCCTTAAAAGCCTCTGAATTTTTTCGCTTTTTTCCTCGCATCCTCAATATTCTCTGGCCATTTTAAATTAGATTCTCCTGACGTTTTTCACGTTCCTCAAGTAGTTTTCAATTTCCCCGACTTTTTTCCCCTTCGGTCTTCGCTACATCCGTTTTCCCGACTCGTGGTGAAAATTGTTAGATCATCTCTCACTGTGCTTCGTGCGCGCGGTATATCGCCGCGAGGAAGAACACCCACCTGTGTGTTTGTAGATGGAGTTGACTCTTTGTACGTGCCTCGTCATCACCTCGATACAGGCTTCCTCCGTGCCGTATCGCGCGAAAAACTGATGGTCGGCTTGCAAGTAGAGCATGCAGGTAGTTTTCCGGGGATCTACCGTCGCACGCTTGTGTAGATGCCTCGCGATCCTATCTCTGCCGCTCACGCTGCGGACGGGAAATAAGGTCGCTTTTATTGTTCGATGAAAAACGCCATGTTCCTCACAGACTTCCAAACTCCTCCGAATTCTATTTTAACTTTTGTCGACGGAGGCACATACGATGCCGGTACTTCACTAATAATTGACACGTGAATTGACTCAGAAGAGAGACAAAGCTATTAGAATTTAGAGTAAAACTCGTCTCTTCCGTGTTACTCATTGTCTCTCCCGTCATCAAATAAATAACTTTAATCAATTTCTTCTTTCAGAAAAATAGCATACACGTTTCTTTAAATTAAAAAATAAAAAATAAAAAACTAAGAGAGGAGAAAGAACCCATTGTAACATAAAGAAACATTTAAGTATACGTCCAGTTTTTCTAAAAACGAAATTGATTATTTTTATTCTTTTGTTTTTTAAATAAATATTTGAAACTTTTTATACTGATACGACCTAATTTAAACTTTCCTACACTTTGAAAAATAGCGCAATGTATGATGAAATATATTTATTTGTGCGCATTAATCAGGAAAAAGATTCGATATGTTTTTTACTCGAAATGCAAGATACTTACGCGTCCGTGTATTCAACGTCATTATTCGTTTCTAATGTTAACACTCTCGCATTGTTTTCCCTGGAGTAGAGAGCAATGTGTTCGCCGAGAAGAGGCTCGTAGAATGCCTGAGAATTGTTGTACCTATATCTAGAGGAACAGACATCGCGAAGTTTAAATTTACATTTAAAGTCCGCCATATGAAGACTGACATAGAACGCATAATATATGATAATCCCGGCCGGCGGGAATTTCCTCTACACGTGTCTAAATTATAGCGCGTTTGCCAACAATATGCTCTTTTATCATTTTCTTCGCGAATGTATTTTCATAAAGTAGAAAATATACGAGAGAACATAAGCACTTAGAAGAATATCTTAATAAGAGCGTAGCCATTTCATCAGTTATATTTATCATAAATAATACTTGATTATAAAATATGCACTGAGAAAAAATGCTGTTAATTCAATTAAAATCTACATGACGGACTGTCACATAAGTAATTAATTCATATATATTTTTATTGACATAAACGCTTTGATTATTGAAATAATAATTTATGCCTTTGTCAATAAAAATGTACATAAATTAATCACTTATGTTAGTAACAGCCTGTAATATAGATTTTAATTGAATCAACAGCATTTTTTCTCAGTGTATAAATTATACAAGTAAATAAAGTATTTTACGAAAAATTATCTTAATATGATCATAAAACAAAGTCTCGCATCTTAATGTTTAAAAATGTTTTCAAATAAATTAAATGCATTCTAGAAAATTATTTTAAATATAAATGCATGCCTATCGACAAAAAATTATATATTACCACAATTCAAATTTTAAGTCTATCATATAAGATAAAATAAAAAGTTTCGCGAATAATCGTAAACTAAAAACGATAAAAGTAAACATAAAACTATACATATTTGACTGTATTCAAAGTGCACTTATAAAGATATTAGCATGCATTAGCATATAGTTCATGTTATATAACGCATTCTGAAATCTGAATACGCCACTGTATCTAAATATGACTTGTTTCAAAAGTGTTTCAAATGTTCATACATTCACAAATTTGTTTTCGAGTTTATCATAAGCATCAAATTTATTCAAATATATTCTGTATTTTAGTAGTATTTTAGTAAATTTAATATTTTAATCAAGATTGTTAAATTAATACAAATTTTATTTGCTTATTATACATTTTTTTATATAATAAAATTTTATAATATTCTTCAAAAAAATAAATTCTTTATTTTGAGTACATAATAATGATTTTTTTTAAATTTGTAATAAGTATATTTTAAGATTATTGCCAAGAAAATATTCTTTATTAAAGATAACCATTTCTTATTAAGCTAAACTAAAAGATCAATTGTAATCATTTTTCTTAGTAATAGAATCGATATTTCTATGTGATTTGATAAAAAAACAGCATAAAAAATCATCTATGAATTTTAAAACCCATTATACGATCTGGAAGGCGATTTATACTTTCATCTCTACATCGATAATCATCGCTTAGAAATTCAAGAGCGCAAGATAGAACTCACCTATCGAAGGAATCGCGAAGAGATCTCTCTTGATGCAGCTGATGACTGGCACAGGGTAATGGATGTGGCGGGGTGGTAACATCGGAGGTACGATAAGCTATGCTGTGATAGGGCGGCGACGTGTCTTCATTTTTATTCAAATACCTGCTCGTTGGCTCGATGTAATACTCCTCGAATCTGGTCACGACACTGCCGTCGAAGAGACCATCTTGCGTAACGACACCCTGCACCACGGCACTCTCGTCCTCTGGAAAGAGAACAGAATGCGATGTCGGTTAATAAAGACTCAGTAATCGAATTTATCGAGAAAAAAGGGATCATTTGCATCATATAGATTCAATTATCATAACTGACGACTTTTAAGATCTTCCTCCATTATAGAATATTTAAACTCGTGAATACTAATTAATATATATATGTATATTAATATATACATGTATATATAAATACACAATAATAAATATACATATATATATATAAATACACAATATTGTATATAGATATAATACAATCTATATAATCATATAGAATAATTATACTTTCACATTTTTTGTTTAAAACTCAATTCTCATTTAGTTAATTATCCGTTTTATATGGTTTTAATAATTTAATTCATTATAAATAAAATAACACATCAGTTTTTACCATTACTCGTATGAGAGAGAAATCATTGACAATTCAAAATATGTTAATAGTATTTTTCCATGGCAATTTGCCGTATTTTAATAACGCTCGTAAGAATGAAGATTACTAAACTTATTATTAAAAGTTTCTGCAGAGACGAATTCGCGTTGAATGTATGGTGATACAACCCCTTTTAAATCTGCGAAAATACGAGGACGAATCGTGGCGGCAGGAGACTTGTTCCCACGGTACATATAAAAGTCACCGTCGGGGTTAATTATATTTGTAAAAGCCTTCGTTCTCAGTGTCGTTGTGCTTTCATTATTTCTTATAAAATTTTTGCGACTTCGCCAAAGTTAGCGAAGGTGCGAGGCGAGATGGTATGATAACTTTTTGGACGGAATTAGAAAGGATTGCCGGGTATTTAGGATCCGGGGATGAGCCATAACTTCGTTTCGTTTCGCTTCGCGCCGTGCAAATTCCATCCAAGCGGTTCAACTTCCGGAACGAAACGACAGATTTCCGTGGAAAATTCTTGAAATCGAAGTTTACCATTTCGATAACGAATAAGAAATTCTTTCTATTTGCTTCATCGTTGTTGCTAAATGTATGACGTAGCTTTGCATAATTTCAGCATAAAACGTGTGCAAATCTTGTACAAATAATATGGATTAATCGGATGTAAGTAGACAGTGAAATAATATTATCAAATAATTAAGTTTCTAAAATGAATCTAAACAGAAAACTCTACTCTAAGCAAATACATTAATCTCTTAATATATATTGACATTTTATGTAAAATGTTTAAATTCCAAAATTTAAACATTTGAGTGCAAAGTTCAACTATTTTACATTTTACTTTATTTACATTTTACTTTATTTTCTACTTCCCCCCCCCCTCTCTTTCTCTCTACGATAAAATGCGCACAGACTCGAGTACGATAATAACGGAAAGATTGGAATTTGTCTGGAAAAAGCAGTATGTACTGGAACCGTCGCTCAAATATGCATGTACCCTACTTCAGGTACAATTTTGTAAAGACGTTGTAAATTGAGGGACGGCAGAGAAAGTTGAATGGAAGACGCTCCGGAAAATCACGACCTCCGAGAATCGAGTCTTTTGGCTCGAGTTTTCCCGGGTAGAACGTGGGTAGATTCCAGGAATTCCAATCGTCAATCATAGACGATATTCCGGACTATCGCTGGAGGAAAGATAAATCGACTAAAGTACTATCGCAAAGTCGGAGAAATTTACGGTCGTGTGTTACTTCCTACAAGTAATTGTTTGGATCCCTTTCGTTGTTGGCACGCGGTCGATCCGTAAGTTCACCCTTCATGGTAATCGATACTCTATCCGATAAAAGGGACAATCAGCAGAGAGGTTTTATATCGCGGAATAATTTAACTGCCGTGCGCAAAAGGAAGTAGTTTGCACATAAATAAAAACATGTCAGATGTTACAAAAAACTAATTTATTATTTAAGCGTATCATCTTTTAAATTATTTTTTTTTTAGAAAAACTTGTAACTTACAACTTGAAATAATAAATTGAAAATACTGATTTTTCAAGAAAATTTAAAACATATTTCGATAAAATTTAACTCTTCATTGACACACCTCTTTTTTTGATCACTTTTTGACATACTGAATGGCAATATTTAAACAACTGACATTCTTATTTTAAAAAATCCAATCAATATGAAAAAAAATTAGGAATCGACTTTCGAATCAATTTCAAGGTAGAAAACATTCAAATAGGTTTTGATTGAAATTTCATTATAGTTTTTGTGAAAAAAAATCTTGAGTTCAATGAATAGAGAAAAAACGAGTAAAATCTTTAAAAAATTGTAACTTTTAAAAAATTCAATATTAAAAGTTAAAAATTTACAGAATTGTTGTTCAGATATGATACTTTAAAAAAAAATTAGTTTGTAAGTTGGTTTTGGATAAAGGGTATTTATTTTGCATATTGAATGTAAGCTATTTTGGGAATTGAAAAAACAGAGATTTTTTTTTATAAACATTATATTTTTGTTCTACAAAATAAAAGAAAATTGAGTCTTAGAGAGTTAAAATAATTTTGTGGGTGGTTCACTCAATATGTCAACAAAGAGTTAATTAAACAAAAAATAAGAATACGAAATTAAACATGAAGTGAAAAATGTATAAGTAAAGATATTATCCTACATGACGTTGATAAAATTTTTCAATGCCTATATTTGGAAACAATCTCTACCTTTATACGAATTTAAACAATGAAATGTGATTGTATGTCAATTATTCTATATCTAAAATGTAATATCAAAATTAAATATAGTATCGAGACTCTACTTCAATTATTAAAAGAATCACCGATAAAAATTAAATCACGAAAAGATGACATAAAAGTTTCACTGAGTGGAAATTAAATAAAAATTTTAATATAAAAATAAAGAAATTATTATAAATTATTAATATTAAATTAAAAACCATTTTGCCAATGAAAAACTACTGAAATAAGCTGAATTCAATTTGAAAATTATACTAACATATAAAATTCAATGAATGTTTCTTGTAGTTATTATCTTTAAATCTGCAAATTTTATATAAAAAAATTTTGATAAAAAAATTAAATTTACTAAATTTGCAAAATCTGGCGTGTCACTTATTTTTAAATGTAATCTTAATGTAAGACTTATTCTCCCTCGAAAGTCGAGCAAATACAACGAGAACAAGATTTAATATTGAGATGTTTCTTTATTTCTTTGTAAAGATAAATTCACTTTTATGCAAAGTATGTATATAATATATCTTCAAGTTTTCTGAATTTTTTTCATTATGTTTTCTGTGATTAATTTTTGTCAATTTTCCCTTAGCAAAAATATAAGTCATGATCTTTACAATTTTGTAATACTGCTATCTATTTATCCATACATCATATTTATATATCTAATTATACATGTATCACGAATTATTATATCATAAAATAAAAATTGTCTTCGAATTTAAACTTAATCAAATCCTTATTCGCGCTATTATTCCTTAAATAATCATTCAATTATGTTAATTTTAAACAAACATAGGTACTCTAAACATTAATTTAAAGTACATTGGATTCGCAAATATCAGATTACTATTAAAGAAATTTCAGAGCGAATTAGAATCAAATAAGACAGAAAAGATCTCATTATCAATTTGCACTTTTATAACCTTTTCGAAAAATTAAAAGTCTTATCATTTTTCTAACAAGCTAAAATCGCTCTCGTATTGCTCAAAGAATTCGTGGCTGAAATACCGGTGATTTTAAGGTACGCTGTGAAGACGATTGCTCCTTTTTCCAGACCGCAAGAACGTCGTCGATTAGAGCTGAGGAAGAGACAGCAGCACGATGTCGAGATGCCTAGCGAATTTCAGATCCAGGTGGAATTTCGCAATCCGTTTTTCTAGAAAAAAAAACCGAGAATTCTCCTCTTCCAATCTACGAAGCTTCCGTGGCTAATTCGATCCCATTTCGCGCGATAGCTTAAGCGCGAACGGCGATTCCCCGTAGACGAGTTGAGAAACGTAATCGATGTGCGGCGTCGTCTCTTTCTCTCTCAACGAGAGATCGCTGATGGAAAGTGGACCTCCCGCGAGAGGCTCAATAGTGAACCTTTGGTCGAGAAACGAGGAGGAAAAGTAAACGCGTAGGAAACACGAGGAGAAACTGGGCTATCGTCGGATTAAATTCGATCGCCGCGCCGTGGCTTTGACGCAGGTCGAGGTCAGATTTTCCGCTCTGCGGATACTGTCCAGATTACGATCTACAATCGGGCATCTTAAAGCGTAATGTAATTCTACAAATTTATAGGAAAACCCTCTCTTTTTCGTATGTATAATTGAAAACGTTATTAAGTCTTAACGTCTTATTAAGTCTTAAAAAGATATTCGCTAAATAACTTCTGTAACTTTGTAAACACAAGAGTGCACAACTGTACTTAAATATCTTGAAATATATACTTATATTTATTAACTCTCCAGTAACACTTTATTCCTTTTAAGGAACACAATCGATATCACGTTTTTTCAAAATTTTTATTTAGATTTCATCAATATGCAAACAATAAATAAAATACAGTCCAGTTTTTAAAAACTTATTGTTAAAAATTACACAAATGTACAAGAATTTTTTCAGATTTTTATGTAGTCCGGAACCATAAAAAATATATACTGTTTCCTTCAACTGTCCAGAGTGTAAAATTTTTTATTTTTATCATTTGATATAGTTTCATGTTCAAACTTTGAATATTTTCTTCAATATTCTCCACCTCCTTAATTATATCAAATTTTTTATGAAGTTTATGTAGCTGTATACGTTTACTTGAGTTTTCTCTGCATTATGAATTAATGTCCGAAAATTTCGGAGTGATGCTGCAGGAGGATTAATATTTGCATATAAAAATTGACTCTAGAGAGATTGATTGTTTTTTTAGAAGACAATGAAACAATCATGATGTTGTGTTTATTTTGCTATTATAAATAAATACATTATGTTCTCTCTAGAGGAATATGCAGAATCAATGAATTATGGACGGTAGGTAAGCTACTGTATTCACGCTTTTGATAACGTTTTTGATTTCGTCGACTTTTTTCACGTTTGAGCGC